CCTGACTTCCCCAGCAGAACTAGTTTCTCCACCTGGTGCATTCCTAATATCCACTCCTTGAGGTCCAGAACCATGCCTTCTTCTCCGAAGCCATACAGGTTAGAGGCAAACCCTGGCTGTAAGGCCTCAGGCAGGCAATTTAACCTTTCTGTTCCTCAGTTTCCTTATCTATACAATAGGAATAATAGTGGTACCTACAGGCCTTGCTTGGTCATGGGCTTACCTGAGAGAAGAAACACAGAGTGTTTAGCATAGAACTGGGCACACACCGAGACTTATCAGTGTCATATAGAGTGCTAGGCTTTGGCAGTTGATGGAGTAGATATTCATTCAGTATTTGCGGAAGGAAGAAGAGATAAAAGGAGGAAAGGGAAAAGAGAGAGAAACACAGCAAATAGCTGCAGAGACCACTACGAACCAGGCAGCACTCACCTGGTATTTTGAAGCCATTGCTGCCTTACAGTTTTGCTAAGTACAAACCCCCTCCCCTTAGGCCAAGACTTAGTATCTGGATTTCTAATCTCCAGACACCTAATCTTGTGTGCTGTCTCTCTCTGCTCTGCAGTCAACAATGTCTCATCTGTCTGACCTCTCCCTGTTCTAAAATCAATGATTCTAAGTTGCTGCCCTGGATCACACCTGTGTCAGGGGGTGAGCAGACCAGGAAGCCCCCTGCCTCTCCCTCCTCACTCAAGGAAAATCAGCTTTGTTTCTCCTAACCTGGTTCGCCTGGTGGTGCATCCATTCAAGTGTGACCACTTTCCTGTTGCTGGACCAGAAAAAGACCACTGGCAGAGTCACATAGGAATCTGCTCTGTGGGAGACAAAGTGAGGACCACAGAGTACAGTCACAGCATGGACAGCTGTCCTCGGACATTGTCCCTGGCCATCCTGTGCACCAGGGCTATGCTAAGCACCTTTGCACACCTGTGATAAGCCCATATTGCAACCTCAGGAAATAGAGACTCCTGCTACCTTCCTTTTTACACGGGAGGGGCCTGAAACTCCCAAAAGCTAGTCCTGGACTGTCTAATGAGGTACCCACATGCAACTCTTGAACATCTTTTTTTTTTTTTTTTTTTGAGATGGCGTTTCACTCTTGTTCCCCAGGCTGGAGTACAATGGCGCAATCTCAGCTCACCGCAACTTCCACCTCCTGGGTTCAAGCAATTCTCCCACCTCAGCCACCTGAGTAGCTGGGATTACAGGCATGCACCACCATTCCTGGCTGATTTTTTTTGTATTTTTAGTAGAGACAGGTTTCTCCATGTTGACCAGGCTGGTCTTGAACTCCTGACCTCAGGTGATCTGCCCACCTTGGCTTCTCAAAGTGCTGGGATTACAGGCATGAACCACCATGCCCAGCCCCCTTGAACATCTTAAATGTGGCTAGTCCAAATTGGGGTATGCCACTGTGGAACAAAGACTGTAAACTGTCCCACTCATAATTTTCATATTCACATATTGAAATTATAATATTTTGGATTGATACGTTAAGCAAAACATTGTTAAAATTAATATCATCTGTTTCTTTTTACTTTTTGAAAGCAGCTCCCAGAAATTTTATTTCCATTAGACAGCACTGTATTTGACAAAGCCTAGACTGCTCTATCTCCACAGCCTTGCTCTTCACTCCTGTGCTAAAACTAAACTTCCATGCTGATACTAAAGTTGTTCCCATATGCGATGGAAACCCAACACCTGGGTTGGGCTTCTGGGGAAAGAGGAACTCTATCCTCCTCTTTCTACAGACAGGTGCATCTGTGCATGTATGCATATGCTGGGAGTGCCATTGTTTTATGAGTAAGGAAACTAAACACTCTGTGGCACACCCAGTGTCACAGGCCCTCTTACTGTGCAGTGGAAGAGGTGGAGTTTAAACCCAAGACTGCCTGACACTGAAGGCTGGCCTCTTCCCTTGCTTCCTCTCCCAGGACTCCCATACTCCACAGCCTAGGAGAAGGCCGGCACAGGTTCTTTGAGGCTGGGTTGAAACCCAGGTGCATAGGTGGTGGTGCACAAGTTCCATGTTATCGGATCTTTTTATCTGTTTGAGTCCTGCCTTTTATTTTAGTTGCACTCATGGCCTTCACCTACACAAGTCTAATACATTCCTCAGGCCCCAGACCACTCTCCTCCTCTTTGTTCTGTGTCCTGAGTCCTCACATCCTTCCCAGCCTCTTTCTGTACATAGCTCAGGCTCAATGAATGTTTGTCTCCTCACTGGCTGAAGCTAAACCTTTGTTGTACCAGAATCTGAACGTCTGGTTTCCTTACCCATTTTCCTAGTATTGTTCCTATTTGAAAACAATGCCTACAGCCCATGTCTACAGAACTGGGATCTTTAGATTTGAGTTTATAAATCAATCCTCAAAAACTATTTGCCTCCAGGAATTAATTAGGGCTGTGCCTCAGTCAGTTTTGTGTAATTATAACAGAATATCACAGATTGGGCAATTTATAATAAACAGAAATTGCTTTGGCTCATGGTTTAGGGGGCTGGGAAGTCTAAGATCAAGGGGCTGTACCTGGTGAGAGCCTTCATACTGCATCATAACATGGTGGAAGGCATCACATGGGTGAGAGGAAGAGAAAAAGGAACCAAATGCATCCTTTTATCAGGAACTTGTTTCCAGATAATGGCATAATCCATTCATGAGGGTGGAGCCCTCATGACCTAATCACCTATTAAGGATCCCACCTCTCAACGTTGTTACATTGGGATTAAGTTTCCAACATGTGAACTTTGGGGACATATTTAAACTATAACAGACTGTATCTTATTACTCTTAGAAGTCTTATCAATCCTTGATTCCCCCAGAATCTTATTTCAGTTCCTGGCATTTGTGGAGTTGCTCAATAAGTGCTTGTTGAGTTACAAGTAACTATCAGGATTACCCAATAGCTACCACTGTATACCAGCAAGCACACAAAGGGATGCAGCAGTTCCTACACTTATTTGAACACAGAATTCTTGGACAGAGACAGGAGGAAGGAGAAGGGCTAAAGTAGGGAGAGAGTGAGGGGATGGTTACTTACCTCATGGACTAGGACTTTATAGATCGCCTTCTATGATAACTTCATCTAGAGGCTTCTTTTCCACTTTGTCTCTTTTCTCTCATGACAAACTATTGCTGATATGTTTTTTTGTTGAAATAAAAAGTTTTTAAAAGATAACTGTCTTTTCTTAAACATAAGACCTAACACCATAAAAACCCTAGAAGAAAATCTAGGCAAAACCATTCAGGACATAGGCACAGGCAAGGACTTCATGACTAAAACACCAAAAGCATTGGCAACAAAAGCCAAAATAGACAAATGGGACCTAATTAAACTCCAGAGCTTCTGTACAGCAAAAGAAACAGTCATTAGAGTGAACCGGCAACCAACAGAATAGGAAAAAATTTTTGCAATCTACCCATCTGACAAAGGGCTAATATCCAGAATCTACAAAGAACTAAAACAGATTTACAAGGAAAAAACAAGCCCATTCAAAAGTGGGTGAAGGACATGAACAGACACTTTACAAAAGAAGACATATGAGGCCAACAAACATATGAAAAAATGCTCATCATCAATGGTCATTAGAGAAATGCAAATCAAAAGTACATTGAGATACCATCTCATGCCAGTTAGAATGGCAATTATTAAAAAATCTGGAGACAACAGATGCTGGAGAGGATGTGGAGAAATAGGAACACTTTTACACTGTTGGCGGGAGTGTAAAGTAGTTCAACCATTGTGGAAGACAGTGTGGCAATTTCTCAAGGACCTAGAAATAGAAATTCCATTTTACCCAGAAATCCCATTACTGGGTATATATCCAAAGGATTATAAATTGTCCTATTATAAGGACACATGCACACGAATGTTCATTGCAGCACTGTTTACAATAGCAAAGACTTGGAACCAACCCAAATGCCCATTGATGATAGACTGGACAGGGAAAATGTGGCACATATACACCATGAAATATTATGCAGCCATAAAAAACGGTAAGTTCATGTCCTTTGTAGGGACACGGATGAACCTGGAAACCATCATTTTCAGCAAACTGACACAAGAACAGAAAATCAAACACCGCATGTTCTTACTCATAGGCGGGTGTTGAACAATGAGAACACATGGACACAGGGAGGGGAGCATCACTGGGGTCTGTGGGGGGGAGCTAGGGGAGGGACAGTGGGGGATGGGGAGACAGCAAACCACATCGCCATGTATGTACCTATGCAACAATCTTGCATGTTCTTCACATGTACCCCAAAACCTAAAATGCAATTTAAAAAAAGATAATTATCTTTTGTATGATTCCAATAAGTAGAACCTTTCTGAACCACAAATAAAAGCTCAAAAAGAAGGCAATAGTCCCAATCACTGTGTTTGTAGTGTTCCCACCCACCTGCCCTACAGTACCTTTCTCTTAGCAAGGGTATCAGGTTTTAGTCTCTTAATAAGTTTGCTTCCATACATATAAAAGGAAGAATAGGCTTGAAATATGATGAGAGAGCTTTTGATGTGTCTTTGACTTTTTCCCCTTAAGTAAAGCCATTGTTTAAAGATAACCTAAATGACAATAAGTAGAACGTTTTCCACCCAGATGGCTAAAAGGCTTAAGGAATCTCATCTGTGCTTCTGACAGATGACTGTGGGGTTCAACCACCTTCCTGATCTAACAAGGGCTTTGTACACAGACTGTCAGCCAGGAAGTCTGAATTCAAGCACCACTGGGACCTGAGATAACTATTAGAGTGGCTAAGGAGATCTCCACAGCAAAGGTGCTAGGGTAGAGGGGGTGTATGGGGCAGGCCTCCATATTCCTATTCAGGAGGGGACCAGCAAATCAGAATCTAATCATAAGAGACTTGAACAAATATTATGATTTCTCAGGAAACAGTTGGGAAACTGAAATTTGTGTGTATGCACAGGTGGATATGAGGTTGCTCAAGGGTCTAAGGTTAGAATCATTAGCAAATTCTATCCAAAGTACTGACTTAGGAAAATTCAAGTTCAGAATTCAAGGTAAACTTGATTAGCCCTTCCAATTATAACAAAACTGCTCAAGTCTGCCTTAAAGAGCCTTACAAGCCAGGCAGTCCCTGCAGCTCCACAAACTGACCCATCCTTGGACTTGTTCTCCACAGAATGGATCTGCTCCTTCCCCTGGCTCTTTGCACCCTAGCCCTGTGCTGTGGAGCAGTGTCTCCACCCAGGCCGGTTCTCAATCCCTTGCCTCTGCTCTCCTGGGGCTGCAATGACTCAGATGTGCTGGCAGTTGCAGGCTTTGCCCTGCAGGACATTAACAAAGACCGAAAGGATGGCTATGTGCTGAGCCTCAACCGAGTGAACGATGCCCAGGAGCACAGACAGGCAAGTAACAGGCATGTGGGCAAGCTGGAGAGACTGGCCAGGGTAAGGGAGCCCAGAGTCACATGATGGGAGGTGCCTTCCGAATTGGAAGCCCTGCTGAGAACACTGTTCTCCTCTGCCAGGGTAAGCGACAACGTACTTGCTATTAGTAAAAACAAGTGTTAACAGTGATCCTATTCTGACACTTGTGTCGGGTTCAGTGGTGTATAGGGATCTTCACAAACATCCTTTGGCTTTCCCATAAAGCGGGGATTTTTTGTGTGCAGTTTTCTGGGTTTCTGCTTCCTGTGAAACATGTTGCATTTCTCCACCCCTTCCCACAGGATGGCCTGGGATCTCTGTTCTATCTCACACTCGATGTGCTTGAGACTGACTGCCATGTTCTCAGTAAGAAGGCATGGCAAGACTGCACAGTGAGGTTGCTTCATAAATCGGTGAGTGCTTGTTTTCATAAACCATTAAGGGCCCTATGGAAGGCAAGTAGGTGCCTCTTTCTTCAGGGTCAAGGTTGCTCAATGTCTGCCATCTTTCAAATGTCCCACTTTATAATCTCCTGGCAGGTGCCCATGAGTTTATTTTAATGCTCTAGACAGAACAAAGTTTAACTCATGAGAAGGGTTTCTGAGAAGTCCCATTGAGGTCATACGGAACAGGATGGAAAGGCTGCCCCCAAGACTTTTTTTTTCCTCCAAGACCCTCCTTTAGGCTCTGAACCAGAGTTTAAATTGTGAGAAAAAGACCTGAGGTGTGAGTATCCTGGATGTGGGGTTAATGTAGACTGCAGAAGCAATGGAGGTAGAGCTTTGTCTATTTGTTTTATTTGGTTTTGTTTTGCTTTAACAGACACTGATGTGAGGTTTGAGGGGAGGAAAATGGATGACTTGCAGTATGAAAGCTTTCAAGGGTGCCATGTAAGGATTTCCTGAAACCACAGAATATAAAGCGCTGCAGAATTAATCTTTTAAAGATGATCATAGAAGAGACTTGATAATAGATAATCCATTTCATTTGATTCTTAATTATCCTGGGGTGATTTTCATTAACTGATATAAAACTTTACAATATGAATGCAGGATTGTGATATTAGTGTTTAGAAGCAAACTATTTGATCAAGATATTTTTCCTAATTATGTAGCCAGTTGGTCAAATTGCACCCAACTTGATTCTGAAAAGTGAATATCCTGTTGTGAATTATGTTTGTTATGGTGACACTAGCTACTAAAACACATACACAAAAAGTGTATACTGACTCTAACATGACAGAAGTTCATTTCTCATATGTGTAAAGTTGAAAGTAGAAGTTCCGGGTTAGACAGGGGCTTTGCTCCAGGGGTGATTTGAGACTCGTTTATTCCACACCATGGCTCTAGGCTCTGCCAGCTTCAGCTCATGACTTCCCTGGTTACCTGCTCATCTGCACCAAGCTGTGCACAGAGAAAGAGCGTAGAGGACAGTGAGAACATGGGAGACCCTGGAAGTGGTTACACCTTACTTCTGCTCACCTTCCTGTGGTTAGCACTCAGTTATACACAGTCACACCTGCTGGGGAGACTGGGAAATGTATTCTAGCTGTGTCCTAGGAAAAGGTTAAACAGTTTGATCATCAACTGCAGTTCCTCCCAACCAAAACCACAAAATTTGATCTTAAGTTTCTAAGTACTTTAAAAGAAAATGTCTGACTTTAATTTTGGAGTTATTTTTAAAGCTCGTAGTTGCATTCACTAGTCATAAAATGTATTTGTTGGTTTCAGGTTTATGGTCAATGCAAAGCAATATTTTATATGAACAACCCAAGTAGAGTTCTCTATTTAGCTGCTTATAACTGTACTCTTCGCCCAGGTAAGAAATCACTATGATTTTGTTAATTTTAATAAAGGATGAAAAAGGGTACTTAACTAGGGCTTTGCCAAGAGTGTATAGGGTATCTCTCATTCTTATTCGCTGTTTATTCTTAATGTCAGTTTCTTAATATTTCCAGTACTTACCTCCCTACTGAAATTCATCCTATACTCCTCCTCTTCCCACAATTAATCTTACTAAATTATCTCTACATTTATATCCTGCATCAGATCTTAAAATTGCAGTCTGACATAAATGGCATAATCTCTATGACTGTTCCTCAGGCTTCCTTTCTTGCTATCTCTGCCATTACTTCCCAGACTACGCCAACTCTACACTCCATTCTACTGGATGACACACGGTTTTCTGAACACGTACTGCACTTTCCAGTCCCTGCATCTTGCTTGTGCCTCTCCCTCTGCTGAGACTGCCCTCCTCTGATGACCTCTGACCTTAGAACACACCTATTCTTTAAGGACCACCACCATTTTCTTCTACAATGTTCTCTATTCTAGAAAGGAATGATGCTTTTGTAATATACATCCACATAAAGCTTTGCCTAAACTACTCAGGGAACACATAATGATTTGGGGTCTCATGTCTTATATCATGTAGAATATTTTATCCCCTTTGACCCAGCAATCCCATTACTGAGTATATATCCAAAGGATTATAAATCATTCTACTATAAGGACACGTGCACACGAATGTTCACTGCAGCACTGTGTACAATAGCAAAGACTTGGAAGCAACCCAAATGCCCATCGATGATAGACTGGACAGGGAAAATGTGGCACATATACACCATGGAATATTATGCAGCCATCAAAAACGATGAGCTCATGTCCTTTGTAGGGACATGGATGAACCTGGAAACCATCATTCTCAGCAAACTGACACAAGAACAGAAAATCAAACACCGCATGTTCTCACTCATAGGCGGGTGTTGAACAATGAGAACACATGGACACAGGGAGGGAGCATCACACACTGGGGTCTGTTGGGGGGAAATAGGGGAGGGACAGTGGGGGGTGGGGAGTTGGGGAGAGATAGCATGGGGAGAAATGCCAGATATAGGTGAAGGGGAGGAAGGCAGCAAATCACACTGCCATGTGTGTACCTGTGCAACAATCTTGCATGTTCTTCACATGTACCCCAAAACCTAAAATGCAATAAAAAAAAGAATATTTTATCCTTTATCCTTTCTTCCTCCTTGCTGCGCCCTTCCTTACTTCTCACCATGTAGAAGGTGTCAATAATGTTGTTAAGTAAATACATGGACTAGAAATGAGGCTGAAACTAATGACATTTGAAATACGTACACGCATTTACTTGGGGTCTTCCTTTTTTCAAGGCAAAGTCTTTGGAAAGAGAGCAACCATAGTGAGGGAAAACAGAATTTGGTCACCTTTCAAACAACTACCTGTGTGTGGTTCCCCTGCTGGATCCTGTTAAAGTGCAAATTCTAATTCCATAGGTCTGGGTCCAAGCCTGAGATCCTGTATCTCTTATAAGCTCCAGGAGATAAGAATGCTGCTGGTTGCTTTGAATAACAAGGCAAGCGAGCAAACATTTTGTTATGCACAGTTTAAGGTTCCTGGTTATGAAGGCAGGATTCACCTAAGATAAACTAGAACAGCAAGTAGTAAACAGTCTCAGAACTTAAATGGAAGTCATAGATATCAGAGCTATGGGAGGTCAGGAAGTAATAGGTGGTGATGATTCAGGAGTGACAAGCTGTGGATGTAAGTCCCCCATTTTCTCCCCCAGTCCCCAAATACATGCAGATAAACACAGAATCACTCAAAACAATGTGTTTGCTCTGCAAAAGCAGCTTCAAGATAAATTCTCCATCCTGCCTTCCACATGAGGCTTACTGCCCTCAGCTCCTCCCAAATAGAAATTCTGGCTGTACTTGGTGTGATCACTCTAACCAGTCACACAGCGACTTGACCAATTTTGTTTTCTGGCTCACTTGCATTTTTCCTCCTTTATTATTTTTTTAAATCTATTTTTATTTTTATTGAGAAAAATAGTTATCCATATTCGTGGCATACATAGTGATATTTCCATAATTACTGTATCATGATCAGATCGGGTTATTAGCATATCCATCTAGTATAGGAGCAACTGACTAGTTAGCGATTAGACAGGTCCAGACTGCATTCAAACCTTTATTACCTCCTTGTGTTGGGAACATTCCACATTCTTCTTCTAGCTATTTGGAATTTTATCTTATCGTTAACTGTAGTCATCCTGCAGTGTTCTAGAACACTAGAATTTATCCTCCTATCTAGCTGTAAATTTGTACCCTTTGACAGATCTCACTTGCGTTTCTAACCAAACAGGATGTGCTTCCACCTTCTACTATGTCATTCACTTATCCATTCATTCTACAAGCATTTACTCAGCACTTTCTATGTATCAGATATGACGTTCGGTGTTAGGGACTGAAAGGTAAGTATGACACGGCAGCAATGAAATCTCAATCTTTTAAGACACTCAGTCTACTTTACAGAGTCAATAATGAGAAAAGATATTGAACTTGTTGGAGGAAAAGGTCCTATATTAATATACTACATCACGTGTCTTTGAACAAAATTCTCAGAGTAAATGTGTGTGACGTGAAAACTTTGCTTTGCTTTGTTCTCTTTTTTAATTGTGAAAGTAATACATGGTCATTATGGAAAACACTGCTGACAGCTAACTTCTATTCCAGAAAATGTTTTCCTTGCCCCATCCTTGCCTCTTTACAGTCATATGATTTATAGGATTCAAAGTCAATAATATTTAAAAATGTATGTTACTGGCATCAACAGTTTCGAGAAGAAAGATTCACATGATGTGTCCTGACTGCCCAAGCCCCTTACCTACCGACTCTTCATATCCCCAAGTTTTGGAGGCTGCCATCAAGTCTCTTGCAAAATACAACAATGGAAGCACATCTAAGCAGTATTCTCTCTTCAAAATCACCAAGGCTTCTAGCCAGGTAAGGCTAAAATGCTCAAGCCAGTTATACAGTGCATCTCATAACTGCTGCTGTAGGTTCCTAAGCTGAGAGGAGAATGTCGAGGCACTCATTTTGATTAGAACCAAAATAGCTTTCTCTATTTTCCCCACTTTGGTAGATCTGATACACAGTCTGTCATGTTTCAGTTTCTAAGTTATTCCATGGCATTTCTACAAGAGTCAGGTGACTTGATTTTGCTTCCCCAACCTTAAGGCAAGAAGAGAAATGGACTCCTGGTCTCCTTAGGGAATCGTCCATAGGTCCACTGCTCACTGCTACCTTCTCATACCTGACTGATTATGGACCATTTTACAACATAACTTTTATTCTACATTAAGGCCTAGAGTGGGTCTTGAATTTTATGGATTAGGGAAAACAAAGGCTCATTTGTATTTAGATTATGTTGATTTCTTTCCTTTTTTCCCCCTCTCTCTCTCTCTTTTTTTCTTTTTTGAGACAGAGTCACTCTGTCACCCAGGCTGGAGTGCAGTGGCACCATCTCAGCTTACTGCAACCTCCACCTCCTGGGCTCAAGCAGTCCTCCTACCTCAGCCTCTCAAGTAGCTGGGACTCCAGGTGCATACTACCACACCTGGCTAATGTTTGTAGAGATGGGGTCTCACTATGTTGTCCAGACTGGTCTTGAACTCCTGAACTCAAACCAATCCACCCTCCTCAGCCTCCCAAAGTGCTGGGATTACAGGCATGAGCCATTGCACCTGGCCTGATACTTCATTCATATGCAGAAAAATCTAAAAGACAATTCTACATAAGGAAAAATCAACTAATCAAAATAAGGTGTTTAGGGCCCATTCAAATCTTAAAGAAGGGAAGAAAGGTGTGCGATTATAAACATAATAACTAAATCATGGAACATGGCTTAATCAGTGTGGGCATTTGCAGAACAACAGATATGTGCATTGACAATGCCTCTGGTGACATATTGTTTCTGTAGATGTAATGCTGCCAAACCTGGGTCTTTTCCCCAGGCGAAATGTTTGATTTTTATGTCTTACTCTTGTCTCATAACAGTGGGTGGTTGGCCCTTCTTACTTTGTGGAATACTTAATTAAAGAATCACCGTGTACCAAATCCCAGGCCAGCAGCTGTTCACTTCAGTCCTCTGATTCTGTGGTGAGTTTTCTTGAATGCCTTCACAATTTGAGTGTTCACAGATCATCTTTAAGTGTTTGTGGAGCATGAATTACATATGAGATGTCATAAGGCATGAGATGCTTTTCTTTCTCTCAAGGAGCAACTGACTAATTAGAGATTAGACAGGTCCAGGCTGCATTCAATTTTAAGTGCAATTTTCATCAGTAGTTGCAAAAGTGATTATATGGAGCTGTAAAATATAGACATCTCAGTGGTGGGTAATGCTTTTGGTCTGACCCAATCCAGTTACATTTGTAATACAGCATGGTGCTCCATTCCACTCTTTAAGAAGGACAAAGTCAAACAGGCCTTCATTCAAAGAGGCATCCAAGAAGGAAAGCATGCCTTGAAGCCATCTGAAACACAGCTGGTGGGAATTTAAACTGGCACGATGTGTTGGAGTACAACTGCCAAAATGCACCAAGAATATTTTTCCTCGTAGTGACTTATAATAATAGCCTTATTAAGAATTCACACATTGTATAATTCATCCATTTAAGGTGTACTTCAGTCGTTTTTAGTATGTTCACAGAGTTGTGCCACCATCACCACTTTCTTATTTTAGAACATTTTCGTTAGCCTCAAAAGTAGCCTCACATCCACTAACAGTCATTCCCCACTGTCACCTTACTTTGTGGAATACTTAATTAAAGAATCTCTGTGTATCAAATCCCAGGCCAGCAGCTGGAAACCACTAAGGTACTTTCTGTTTCTATGGCTTTGCCTATTCCGGACATTTCATATAAATGGAATCATACAGCATTTGGTCTTTTGTGTCTGACTTCTTTCACTTAGCATAATGTTTTCAAGTTTCTCCATCTATAAATAGATATAGTTTTACCTCTTCCTTAGCAAATAATGTCTTATTGCACAAATATTGTTTATTGTTTGTCCATGTTGGTGGACATTTGAGTTGTTTCCTGCTATGAAAAAGTGTACAAGTTTTTATGTACACATATGTTTCCATTTCTCTTGAGTATATACCTCAAAGTGGAATTGCTGTTATATGAAAAAAAAAACCCAACTCTGTGTTTAACCCTTTCACCGATATACTGTTTCCCACTGTGACTGTATCAGTTTCGCAATTCCATCAGCAATGTATGGGGGTTTCAATTTCTCCACATCTTTGCCAATACCTATTATCATCTTTCTTTTGGTTATAGCCATCCTACTGGGCATGAATTGGTATCTCACCATGATTTTTATTTGCATTTTCCTAATGACTAATGATGTTGAGCATCTTTTAATGTGTTTATTATCCATTAGTATGTTTTCTTTGGAAAAACGTCTACACAAACCATTTGCTCATTTAAACTCTGGTTGCTTATCCTTTTATTGGTGAATAATAAGAGTCTTTACATATTCTGGATACATTGTCCTTATCAGATATATACTTTTTAAATATTTTCTATCATTCTCTGGGTTGTCTATTCACTTTCTTGACAATGTTCTTTGAACTATAGAAGTTTTAAATTTGGATGAAGTTCTATTTATGTCTATTTTTTCTTATTTTGAATAAGAAATAATGTCATATCTAAGAAACCATTGCCTAATCCCAAATCACCAAGATTTACATGTGTAAAATGCAAGGGATCCAGAATGCCAAAATAATCTTGAACCAAAAGAATAAAATAGGAAGACATACTTCCCAAACTCCAAACTTACTACAAAGCTACAGTATTTAAGACAGTGTCTTGGTGGTATAAGAATGATATATAGATCAATGAAATAAAATTGAGAGTAAAGAAATAAACTCCTATATGTAGGCCTATGACACGTTTTGAGTTTTTGTACAAGGTGTGAGGTAGGGAGTTCAACTTCATTCTTTTGCAAGTGAACATCCAATTTTCCCAGCACTATTTATTAAAAAGACTATTCTTTCCCCCACGTAGTTGTCTAGGCATACTTCTTGAAGATCAATTGACCATAAATGTTAAGAGTTTATTTCTTAAATCTCAGTTTTATTCCATTGATCCACACTTCTAAGCTTATGCTAGTATAAATTATCTAGAATACTATAGCTTTGTAGTAAGTTTTGAGATTGGAAAGTTTAAGTCCTCCTATTTTGATTTTCTTGTTCAAGATTGCTTTGGTATCCTGAATCCCTTGAATTTTCATGCTGATTTTAGGACCAGTTTGTTCATTTTCTATTTTTAAAAAGGCAGTAGGAAATTTGATACATTTGATTGCATTGAATCCGTACATCAATATGGAAAGTACATTATCTTAACATTAAGTTTTCAAGTCCATGAATATGTGGTATCTTTCCATTTGTTTAGAACTCATTTAATTTCTTTCAACAAAGTTTTGTAGTTTTCCGTGTACAAACGTTCTATGTACCCCCTTGGTAAATTTTATCTCTTTTATGCTAATGTAATTAAACTGTTTTCTTAATTTCATTTTTGGATTGTTCATTGCAAGTGTGTAGAAGGACAACTGATTTTTAATATTGATCTTATATCTTGTAACCTTGATGAACTCGTTTATTAGTTCTAACAGTTTGTTGGTGGATTTCTTAGGATTTTCTACGTGATCATGTCATCTGAAAAGAATCGCTTTTTACTTTGCCCTTTTAACTCTGGATACCATATGTGTCCCTAGCCTCTAGGGCTCACATGTTCAGCACATCCATAAACTCCCAATTTGTGATCCACTCTAGTGTCGGCACCAGGTAGGCCAGTGAACTTTGGTAGCTCAGCAAATCCGAGTTAGCTTGGAAGTGGCCAGGCTCTACTTGGTCCAGGTACCTGCAGTTTCTCCAGAAGGTTCTCTGAGAGCCCTTCCCCTTTGTGACTTGATGATGAAGAGAAGGAAAAGGCTGAAACACCATTTCCCAGGCACTTCATACTTTAATGGATTGTCCCTTTTTAAGGAATTTCTAGTCTTCTTTTCATATGGTCTGGAACTGAGTGACAGAATAATATTTAGGCAATCTGTTTAGACACTTATTTTTCTTTTTGTAGGTTTAGGGATACAAGTGCAGTTTTCTTACATGAATATATTGCATAGCTGTGAAGTCTTGGCTTTTAGTGTACCCATCACTCAAATAGTGTACATTATATTCAGGGTGGTATTTCTTTTTGTCTTTTCTTTTTTTGTTGCTGTTTTGTTTTGTTTTTCTTTGTTTTGTTTTGAGGCAGAGTCTTGCTCTGCCACACAGGCTGGGAGTGTAGTGGCGCAATCGCGGCTCACTGCAACCTCTCCCTCCTGGGTTCAAGCGATTCTCCTGCCTCAGTCTCCCAAAGTAGCTGAGAGTACAGGAACCTGACACCTCACCTGGCTAATTTTTGTATTTTTAGGAGAGATGGGGTTTCACCATTTGCCCAGGCTGGTTTCAAACTCCTGACCTCAAGTGATCTGCCTGCCTCAGCCTCCCAAAGTGCTGGGATTACAGGTGTGAGCCACCGTGCCTGGCTCAGGGTGATATTTCGTCCCTCACCACCCTCCCACCTTTTGGAGTCTTCAATGTCTGTTACTCCACTTTGTGTCCATGTATACCCTTTCTTTAGCTTCCACTTTTAAGTGAGAACATGTGGTTTTTGGCTTTCTGTTTCTGAGTCATTTCACTTAGGATACTGGCCTCCAGTTCCATCCATGTTGATGCAAAGGACATGATATCATGATAGATATACAAATGCAGTTGTCTTTTTCATACAGTGGTTTCTTTCTTTTTTTTTTTTTTTTTTTTTTTTTTTTGGTGGGGGAGTGGGGTAGGTAACCAGTAGTGGAACTGCTGGATCAAATGGTAGTTCTATTTTTAGTTTAGTTTTAGACACATGTAGTAAATGTTGTGTGGATAGACTTAAGAGCTCTTCTTTAGAAATTGAGGAAACATTTTATTGTACTATTCTATTTATGCTTGCATAGTGTATGATCCTAAAATTCCTCTTCTAGGAATCTATCCTAAGGAAGTAACTAGGAATTCACGAAAAAATATAGCTTCAATGTTTAAACAACAACAAAAAAATAGATTCAGTTTGTCCATCCAATAAAAGAGAGCTTTTTAAATATCACAGAGGAATATTAGGTAGCCATTATTTAAAAAATCCTAGAAGACCATTCAATGCCATAAAAGGGTTTTTATAATATTGCTAAGTGACAAAACAGTTATAAAATAATACATATAACATGACTATTTTGTAGAAGAAAAAAATATATGCATAGGAAAAAAGATTGGAAGAAAAGAAATCAAATCATTGCAGGTAACAGGTATCTTTCATGTAATTTACAGGTCTTAATTTTCTTTTTATTTATCTCTATTCTAAATAACTATAACATTTGAGTAAAGAAACAAAGTTACTTTACTTTCGAGTAAAGAGAAACTTGAGCTGAGAGTCATTTTGTCTGAGAAGAGAAACCTCAGGTGGAACATACTTAAAGGGCGGCTACATAAAAGATGAAAGCAAGTTTTCTAATTGACCCTAAAGTAGCACTAAGGCCAAGAGGTAGAAGTTGTATAGACATTGGAGGCAGTTTCACCTAATTTGGATGATTTCTTGGTAGGAGTGATCTAGAAAGAATTGACTCAGAGTCTACCTATTACATGGTATAAGCATAAAAATGTTGATTGGCTGTGTAACTACACAAGGAGAAAGCTAGTTGATTTCCATCTATGATCACTGGTAATACTCACATGACATTGTATTTTCTCTGTCTTTTAGCCTGTTGGTATTTGCAACGGTTATCGGATACAAGCACGTTTGGAAGAGCTTGTCTCTGCGACTTGTGACTTCTTTGTAGCACAGGTATTTTTCAATCTAACTGCATGTCTTTCTGTGAAGAAGAGCAGATTATCTATAGCTACCTGCCACTACCTTACCCCAGCTTTGATTTTCCCAACCACCTTGCTCACCACTTTCCTCATGCTACCCAGAGGCCACACCCACAGCGTAGCTGGTCAAAGACCTGTTATGCTTTGCATTAGTCACAATATGGTCCTGTAGAGTATGCAAGACAAATTCGGAAACAGGGAGCTACAGGCTTGGATGTCATTCAAGCTTCTGAGACATTAAATTCAGTGTCCAAAGAAACCTTACCTCAAGCCACAGGGAGAAATCATTTCCATGAAAACATTCAGTACCTTTCCAGAAGTGTTTATTGAGCACTTATTGTAAGGTAGCCTGGTATATTTGAGAGGGCAGTTGAAACAGGACAGTTGGGATCCAGTTTTGCTCTGGTACCTGTGAGCTGTGTAAAAGGCACATCTGTTTGAGTTTTGTCTGCCTCGTTTATAAAATGGGATTGCAACACCTGCATCATTCAGATCCCTGTGAGAAGCAAGTTAAAGGACCTGAATAGAGGGTGCTGTACAGGGCCCGGTACTGAATAAACAATCAAGGAAAGGCACCTGCTGCTGCCACTACTGAAAACAGAAAGATAGCTTGTTGGAGACTTTGAGTGAGTCATTGAATCTCTCTGGGCCATTATTCAGCTCTGAAATTGTGAGACTTAAGTTAAGCTTCTACAGGTCTTGGTTACCCCTGGCCCTTATCTGTTTTATTTTTTAACCCTTTCACCAGGAGATCTATCCCTCTAATCCCTCTACCTAGTCTCCCTTTGAAATGTTCCAACAGAAAGGCACAGATCAGCTTAGGCTGGTACTAGGCATGGGAGGGCTTTCCCTATGGAACTCTGCATTTAAAAATGTTCTCATTCCAGGCTCCAGCCACTGGAAGTGAAAACTCTGCTGTTAACCAGAAACCTACAAGCCTTCCCAAGGTGAAAGAATCCCAGCAGAAAAACACACCCCCGCGAGACTCCCCCTACAAAGCTGGGCCAAGAGGATCTGTCCAATACCTTCCTGACTTGGATGATGAAAATTCCCAGGAAAAGGGCCCTCAAGAGGCCTTCCCTGTGCATCTGGATCTAGCCACGAATTCTCAGGGAGAAACCCTGGATGTTTCCTTCCTCTTCCTGGGGCCTGTGGAGAAGAAGCTGGTTGTCCTGCCTTTCCCCAAAGAAGCACGCACTGCTGAGTGCCCAGGGCCAGCCAAGAATCCTAGCCCTTTTGTCCTTCCACCGTGAGAATCACACAGAGTCTTCTGTAGGGGTATGGTGCACCGCATGAGATGAGAGGCAGAGAGACAGAGTGCCCACACGTAGAGAGTGGCTAATGAAGGACACCTTTTTGACTCTTCTTGGTCTCAGCATGTTGACTGGGAATGGCATGTTGACTGGGAATGGAAATAATGAGACTGAGCCCGCTGCTTGGGCTGCACTCTACCTTGTACACTGCCTTGTACCCCAGGCTGCATCCCCTTCTAAACTGAGCAGTCTCATGCCGTGGATAGATGCCTCTTGTATGTCTTCAACCACTCACTTAGAAAGATTCTTATCCTTTCAGCAGTATATATGTGCTCAAATCTCAGCATGAAAGCCTCGCATGAGTAAAGATACTTTCCCTAACACCAAGAGACATATGAAACTGAGACCCAGCACAGTTTTAGTCCCTAAATTCCCTTTAATTCCAGGACAGGTATTAGCTGCATATGGCCCATACCATTTCCAACCCTCTACCTCTTTTCATCTGTCTGGAAGTCTCTAGGTCTCAAGAGTGAGGTAATTCACTTAGAACTGGGGACACATGGAAGAGAAGTGCACGTGTGGCCTGTGGTTGACACTGGGAGTACCAGACCATGACAGTTCTCATCACTGTTATAATTTCTCCAGGACAGACAGGGGAGGGCCCATTATAGCATTCAATTATAGTCTATGCTTTTCATCCTTCAAACACTGCAGGATCAATTTCCTCTCATTCAGTAATATATATGTGCACATGCACACCTGCACACCAGATAGGACGCTGGACATTTTGACAGAATTTGCAGATGCAGCTATTGTCCTCTATCCTGGCCGCTATTAGAAGAGGCACATAGGCCTTGGGGTAAATTGCATAAGAGAAGTAGACAATATTTGCACTCTGTTCCTCTTATCTGCTTCTCATAAGGAAGTGATTACGTGGGGGTGTCATGTGGGGTCTTACACCCTGTTGGTCAGGGTCTGAAAGAAGCAGAATTGTACTCAGGTGGCTCAACTAAAAAGACTTTAGTTGGTGTGGTGCGGTGGCTCCGCCTGTGATTCCAGCACTTTGGGAGGCCGAGGCAGGTGGACCACTGGAGGTCAGGAGTTTGAGACCAGCCTGGTCAACATGGTGAAACCCCGTCTCTACTAAAAATGCAAAAATTAGCTGGGCTTGGTGGTATACCATGTCTTCATTCCTTAGATCTCATTTCTTAGGTCATTGGTTCAAAGAGCCAATGGGAGGCGGAGATTGGAAGGAAGCAGGATGGGAGGGAGAAGGCATGGCATAATCCCAGCAACTCAGGAGGCTGAGGCAGAAGAATCGCTTGAACCTGGGAGGTGGAGTTTGCAGTGAGCCAAGATCATGCCACTGTATGCTGCCAGCCTGGGTAACAGAGATAGACTCTGTCTCAAAAAAAGAAAAAGACTTCAGTGAAGGGAACTTTAGTGAAGGCTTGTGGCCCAGGCGAAGGGAAGGTCAAGGGATGCTGAGGCATCTGGACAACAGCATCAGCATCAGGAGCCTTTGCCACCTGATGCTGAGCAGGAGCAGGAGTGGCTGGCTTCCCCGATCTATTGGAGCTGTCCGTTGGAGAAGCCACCCTGCAGGTGGAGGGGTGCAGCCCCTGCAGAACCTGGTGCTGGAGCGGGAAGGAGCAGGGAATAAGTACCCTTCCCTTCCCCTCCCTTCCTGCTTCCTTCCAATCTCCTCCTCCCATTGGCTCTTTGAACCCAATAGTAAACTAGCCAGCAGGGGAGCCTGGGTTATTCACTTCCCTGGAGCCAGCCTGAAAGAAGCAGACAAGGCCAGGCAGAGAAAGTCAAAGGATGGGCCTGAGGCAAACAGAGAGAAACCATTACAAGCCCCAACTGGGGTTTCCCAAGGGGTGTGCTATAAGGCCCTTCTACACTGGTAAAAGGATGGGGAAGGGCCTCAAACTTTGTGGCTCCTCCTACCTACCACCTCCTTTCTCTTTCCATGGCTTAATTTGTGAAAAACTAGATTATTCCCATGCTTGCCACTTCCTCACCACCTCTTCATTCCTTAGGTCACTGTAATGTGAATCCATCTCTTTTCCTATAACCCACTGACTTGGTGTTCCCTAACAATCTTTTATTCTAAATTTTTAAAAAAGAAGCATTTCTGTTCACTTTTACTTACACTTTCAAGGATCTGGCAATGCTGACCTTGCTTGCTTTTTAGACTTTTTCAAGTAGACTTTGCCCCACATCCTCCAGGTTTTTCTTCTATCTTTCTGACCACTCCCCCTCATGTCCCACCTTGGTTCCTCTTCTCTGGCTCATCTCTCAGGTGCTGTTTCTCTGGCTTTCTGTCCTTGATCTTTTTTTCTTACTCTGGAGACTCCAGGCAGACAAGCTAATCTACACCCTTGTCAACAGTTGCAAAATGCTGCATTTATTACTGATCTCGGGCTCTTGTCTTCAAGTCATCAGTAGTTTGCAAATTGCTAACACTAATCTACAACAAAATTTTGGGAGCTGGGTATTTCTAGTTATATAATATTAAGAGTTATCTCAGGTGAATGTTTAAAATGAACATATTCAACAACAGGAAAATGAAAAACCCAAGTTAAAAATGAGTAAAACATTCAAAAAAAAAAAAAAATGAGACCGTGTCTTTTGCAGGAACATGGATGAAACTGAAGGTTATTATCCTTAGCAAACCAATGCAGGAACAGAAAACTCATGCTCTCACTTAGAAGTGGGAGCTAAATAATGAGAACACATGGACAGGTAGAGGGAAGCAACAGACACTGGGGCCTACTTGAGGCTGGAGGGTGGGAGGAGGGAGAGGAGCAGAAAAACTGTTGGGTACTAGGCTTAGTACCTGGGTGACATATAATCTGTACAACACACCCCTATGATATGAGTTTACCTATATAACAAATCTGCACAGGTACCCATGAACTTAAAAGAGAAGTTTTAAAAATAAAAATAAGCAAAAGATTTAAACCTCACCCCAAAAAATATAAAGATGGTAAGTAAACATCTGAAAAAATGCTGAACTTTAGTGAACTTCATATGTCATCAAAGAAATGCAAACTGTAATAACAATGAGATACCACTACGCATCTGTGAGAATGGCCAAAATCCAGAACACTGACAATACCAAATGGTGGCAAGGATGTGGAGCAAAAGAACTTCTCATTCATTGCTGCTGGGAATGCAATGGTATGTCATTTTGGAAGACAGTTTGGCATTACTTTCAAAACTTAACATACTCCTATCATATGATCCAGTAATCACACTCCTTGGTATTTACCCAAATGAGGTGAAAACTTATGTCCATACAAAAACTCCCACATGGATATTCATAGCAGATCTGCTCGTAATTGTTAAAACTTGGAAGCAGCAAAGATGTCCTTCACCAGGTGAGCGGATAAGTAAATCCAGACAATGGAATATTGTTTGGCACTAAAAAAAATAATGAATGTCAGGCCATAAAAAGACATGGAGGAAGGTTAAATACATATTACCAAGTGAAAGAAACCAATCTGAAAAGATTAAATACTGTATGGTTCCAACTATATAACATTTTAGAAAAGGCAAAATTATGAAGACAGTAAAAAGATCACTGGTTGCCAGTGGCTAGCAAGGAGACAGGGATGGAGTATGTGGAGCACAGGGGTTTTTAAGGCAGTGAAACTGTTCTGTATGCTACTACAACAGTGGGTACATTTCATCATTTGCTGAAACCTGTAGATGTACAACATCAAGAGTGAACGGTAATGTAAGCCATGGATTTTAGATGATAACGATGTGTCATTGTAAGTTCATCAGTTGTGATAAATGCTCTGCTAGTGTGCAAAGGTTTATAGTAGGGGAGACTGTGAGTGTGAGGGGCATATGTAGGGGCTCCATAGGAACTCTGTACTCTCCACTCATTTGCGCTGTCAACATAAAACTGCTCTGAAATAATAAAGCCCATTTTTAAAGTAAATTAACAAACTAGGTGGATCACGAGGTCGGGAGTTTGAGGCCAGCCTGACCAACATGGTGAAACCCCGTCTCTACTAAAATATAAAAATCAGCCGGGTGTGGTGGTGCATGCCTGTAATCCCAGTTACTCAGGAGCTGACAAAAACTGTGTTTTCTTTAAAAAGTGACTCCTATTATAAAAAACTAAATGTCATAAAATTCTGTCAACCAGTCTAGTGATTCTCAAAGAAATAGAGATTTACAAAGAGGTCGATTGTAGCATGACTTATAAGAACAAATAACTGGAACAAATATGCATGGCCAAAACTTGGGGAACATTTAATACATTAACACATATATAACACGCAATATTATGTAATCTCAAAATAATCTTTCTGAAGAATATTTAATGATCTGAGAAAGTTCTCAAGGTAAACCTTAAGGGAAAATACAATATTTAAACCACATATAACAAGGAATTGTTAAAAGTCCTTATCTTGGCAAAGGGTTTGGGGGGTGAGAAATGGAGGAAAGAGGCTTAATTTTTATTTTATAATATTCTAAAATATTGTTTGCTTTTTTACTTTGCACAGGGATTATATTTATGACTAAAAATTGTATACTTAAAAATAACTCAAAATTTTAAAATCCTATAAAAACACAAAAACATTTATAAAGTTTATATGGTTTTTATTAATACCTGAAAAAAATAGAGGTTATAAGTAAATACATACTCAACTACAGTGGAGGAAAAGAAACACTTGTATGTATAGAATGATTCTAATGATGCAATATATATATATATATATTTTATTGCACTTTAGGCTCTGAGGTACATGTAAAGAACATGCAGGATTGTTGCATAGGTACATACATGGCAATGTGGTTTGCTGCCTCCATCCTCATCACCTATATCTGGCATTTCTCCCCATGTTATCCCTCCCCAACTCCCTACCCCCTGCAGTCCCTCCCCTAGTCCCCCCCAACAGACCCCAGTGCGTGATGCTCCCGGCAAAATACATATATTACATATATTCAAATAGCAAAAAGTGTATGAAGCAATTATATATTATAAATAGTTGGTTTTCCTCATGGTTGTAGAATTAGAGGTGAATTTTCCTTATGCTTTTTGTATTTTCCACATTTTTTGCAAAGAGCGTGTGTTCTATTATGAGTCAAAAAGCTTTAAAGTATAAAAATTCTGTTAAGGGGCTGGGCACAGTGGCTCACACCTGTAATCCCAGCACTTTGAGAGGCCCAGACGGGCAGATCACAAGGTCGGGAGTTCGAGACTAGCCTGACCAACATGGTGAAACCTGTCTCTACTAAAAACACAAAAATCAGCCAGGCATGGCGACACGCGCCTGTAATCTCAGTTACTCAGGTGACTGAGGCAGGAGAATCACTTGAACCTGGGAGGCGGAGGTTGCAGTAAACTGAGATTGTA